GTCACTCTTTGAAAGCAGCACATAAAAAAGCAGCTCAATCATATTTTGAGTGCCCTCTGATCTGGGCGACCAACCTGGGGGAAGAGGAAATAAAATATTTCCTAGCTCTTTTCATGTATCAGATAATGTGATAAGGAGGTATGTCTTAGTATTATTACAATTAGTCTTAGAGAGCTTAAGAGACTTACCCAAGGTCACACAACCAATTCATTTCAAGATTAGACTTTGAGTCTATGTCTCTGAAGACTCTAAATCCCATGTTATTGCCACAAAACATACTGCGGAACCCCTGGATAAGATAAAAGTTTTGTAGAGGTGTTACTTCAGTCAAGGTGTAACTCCAGTAAGTTAGGGACAGTGTGATCCAAGATATAGAAGTAAATAAAGGTGAAATTTGGATAGAGATTTGGACACAGAGAGAAATATTGGCTAGGGAAGAGAAGTAGTGAGGAGGTGGGGGAGTCAAAGTGTGAGTAAGAGAACCAGCTCTTTAGAGGAGGTGGTTGATTTGGGAACATGAGAATATTCTAAACAAACCAAACTCACTGCTGAGTCAGTACTGATGCATAGCAACTGCTCCCCTCCATCGCCCACCCCAGTGTGGGTTTCTGAGACTGTAACTGTTTATGGGAGTAGAAAGTTAGTCTTTGTCCCTCTGAGTTACTGGTAGTTTAAAAAAGCTGACCATGTGGATTGCAGCCTAACTCCTTACGATTACACCACCAGGACTCCTTATGAGAACATAAGTTCATGCATTTAAGTTTTCCATGTAAATCACTCCAGAAATACTAACTGCATGGTGGATATCCTTTCTCCAGCTCATGTATGTGGATACATTATTCTGAGTTCTGTGAGCTTGGTCTGTCCTATTCCAGTGTTTTGAGCTAGGGAAGAGGTTACACTCTGCCCTTCTCCTCTGGATTACAGCCTTTTATGAAAGTTTGAATAGAAGTTTCAACTGACCTTTGTGTGAGCACTAATAATATCTAAGTCAGCAGCAAAGACACATTTCATTTAATTGCTCCTTCAGGGTCCACTTAGAGTAATAGCGGTGAATATCTCTCCCAAGTGTCTATCACAGGCAATGACAAACTTTGCTGAAGATGAATAACAAATTATTGGCAGGATCAACTTAAATAGGGAAGAAAGACTTCATCCTGTCTAGACTGACTTTGTCATAAACTGCATATTATTTCTGTGTCACCATGCTGACAATCCCAACTGTAGTGGAGGACTTCCACCCCTGAAATCTGTTAGCTCCAGAAAAGTGAAAGAAATTTTCAAAGGTAACTATGAGTATTTTGACAATGATTCATTCCATTGGGTGATACAAAAAAAAAAGTTCTGCTCATAACTAAGTTTGCTTACTTTTGATCATTGATTACATAAAATACTATGTAACTTTTATTGTTGTTTAGCAGTCCTAGGATCAGTAACATTTGTGGATTTCTTATTATAAATTATTTCTGCACTTGTAAATGAAATAATAAAGCTAAATGGCATTCCAAATTGTCTCAAATTTAGTGTTTCTATTTCACACTTGAGCCATAATAAGTGATCATATAAATTCTTTGCTCATTTATTTTTCTTGGGAATTTGACTGAAACAGACTTAGAGATGCAATTAACAAGTATACAACAGTAAAACATTTGGGTTGGTATCTCAAATACCTGGAACTATCTCTGTCTAGTAATATTGTGTATGATTGGAGTTAATCACTTAGGCCCCTTTGTGACTTTAAAATAAATAGACTGGACTCTGTGATCGCCCAGGTGTCTTTCTTATTTAAACTTTAATGTATAAAATTTTGATATTTTAAAATAATTGAGTTTTATCTTCTTAAAAGAAGTTTTCATTAAGTTTGCTTACATAATCAACACAGGAGAAAAGTATCAGCTTAATTATACATTATTGATGAAAACCCCCAAATTCCTTTAAAGATAAAATAAAGTAGGCAAGTTATCCAATTACCTTAAACAATTGTTTTATTTCTGAAATTCTAAGTAATAAATTTGAGCTAATATAATAAAAGTAAACTATTTTCTCATAAAGTTCAACAAAACTTGGTGGGGGTGGGGGAAACTCACTGCAGTGGACATTTTAATTTCAGGGTTTTAAGGGAAACACTGCTTTTTTCTTAAAATAATGAAAATCATGAAAGATGAAGTTTTATCTTCTTTAAAATTTGGATGTTGCTAGGTAATTGTGAAAAATAACCCTCAAACGTCTTATGACATGGAGAGTCATTATAATGTTGAGTATGGCATATGTTTAAACTTAGGAATTATTTTCTGAAATGCCCCCCCCCCATTCCCCCATACATCCTTGGTAAAATTCTCATTATGCTTAATGAGAATTAAAACCAGTGCCCTGTGAACCTCAGGGGAGAAAGTTCTTTGTTATTTTTTGGAGAGAAAAAGACTGGCTGAAGTCCAACAGATATTTCAAGGTCATTCTCATGGAAAGAGTCTTAGTGTCTTGATTCTTTTATCAGTCTGTTGACCAATTGTATGAGGACACTGTCTACCTGTCCTGAAAATTACAGAGTAGGTAATTATCTGAAATTACAGCGTAGGTAATTATACATTTTACAAATGTAAATCAGTTTATTGAAGTTTCTTGTGTATAGCATCTGTTAAAAGTAAAATTTGTGTTGCTTCCCAACCCCCAAGAGCCCCCATACTTATTATGGAGCTAAGTTAAAGAAAGATTGATTAATGTTCTTTCATAATAAATGCTCGTAGCACTCCAGGAGAGTAGGTGATAGATGTGCACACTCATTTCTATAGTGTTTGTATTGCTTGTAATATGTACTGTAACATAAGTGGACAATGTATGGTGGAAGAGTATCTAGGTGGAGAATCCTCAGGAAAACATTAATGGGGAGTGTAGAAATCATACACTGAGATAACCATTCTTAGTTTTACAGCCTCAAGAGACACGCTGGAGTTAAACAGAAATCACTCATTGTGAAATAAGGAACCACACACTGAGAAGAAATAAAGTTATAATTATTTCTACAGACCTTAGATTCAAACTATAAAAAGTTATTATCCAATCTTTTTGTCTTTTTCACAAACAAAAGTGAAATGATTTTTGAATGTTATTTATTATACTCACTAATGTGTTTTTGCTGACCTGATACCTTGCTGTACATTTTATTATTTCTATCTATTTTAAAAAGAGTCCACATGCATATAGTTCTGGGTCATGGGAATTTCATGCTGCTCTCAGAAGAACTGTTTACCTTATAAAATGGTGATATGATCCATTTTATCAGGAATTATAGATGAAGTTTGATCATTTTGTGTAAACCTTTTAATGATTCAGTGGTGAATGCGTTTACTGAAGTTTGACAAGCAAAAAACAGAATTGAATATGAATCTCACTCATTGTCATCGAGTTGATGCTGACTCATAGTGACCCTCTAGGAGAGGGTAGAACTGCCCTTGTGGGTTTCCAAGACTTTAACTCTTTACGAGAGTAGAAAGCCTTGTCTTCCTCTCATTGAAAATTAATATCTTCCTTAATTAACTCAGTTGAAAGGAAGGAGAAGGTGAATGTGATAAGAAATTCATTCATTTTAAGCAGAACAGAATGTGTACTACCTTGAGAAAAGAAAGCATTCTTGTTTTATTAGTGCTTGATTGTTTTTTAGCATTGTTTCAGCAAATGTAACTGAGTGTCTGCCGTGTCAGTTACAGTCCTAGTTCCCCAGAAGGGATGTTCAGAGATGAATGGATTTATGCAGAAGTCTTGGAAGAAGTATAGGCAGAATGCTCCTTAAAAGGGAGCATGGCGAGACTTCGTTTCACGTATTTTGAACATGTTAGTAAGACATGTTAAGAGTCTCTAGGTGGATAACCACAGTGGCTGCACTATTAGTCTCAAACATTACAATGATGAGATTAGCAACCTAATGAGTAACCAAATAAGCCTCCAAGGTTCCTTATATACATCAGTACAAGATCTGGTGGGACACAGAAAGAGAGGGTTCCCTTTCTCTTAGGAAGGAATGACAGAAAAGAAAGAAGCTTCAGCTTGACCTTTTCTTGGAAACAAAACATTCCTGTCTGAGAGAGCAGCAAGAACAAAATCAAGAACGCCTAACATGGCTAGGTGTGTTGACAAGATTGAGTGCATGGTGGAGCTGGGACTCGAACATGGGGGATAAGATGAGGGATAGGATGAGTAGGAAAAGAGTTTAGAGAGGAAGTAGAGGCAGGAGGAGCTTGCATCTTGTCAGCAAGGTGGAGAATTTTTAGACGTAGACAATTTGGAAAATACATACATTTGGAGAGGCCACTGTATAGAATATTCAGAAAATACAGATCAGCAAAAGAAGTAAATAAAAATCAACCATAATCCATCTCTACTATTCCAACTTTGGCCTATCACTCAACAAATGTTTTTCCTAGAACCTAGGGCCTATATCTTTAAAAAAAACCAAGTCCAATTATGCATACCAGTTATAATATTCTATTACAATCTATAAGCATTAATAAAAATCTTCTGAAACATAATTTTGATAATTACACAGCATTCTATTATATCAATATATCATAATATAATAAGCCTTCAGACTACAAACTGCTTTAAAATTTTAGATACGATAAATGGCCCTGTGATTTCACCTTGAAAATATTCTGAATTTGGCGGTTGGGGTAAAGAGGTAAATTTCTAAAAGTGAAAGTTCTGGTTCAAATGGAATACATATTTTAAAAGGCCGGCATTTCAGCACCTGTTCTTTCAATAGTCATTATCATGTCTGTTTAACTTTACCAAATGATAGTAAAGAGTGGATCATTGGTTTAATTTGCATTTTTGACTAAGGTCAAATGATACCAATTATTTCCATTCACTGTTTATAAACTGTACATTCATACCTTTTATCTATTGCTGTATTCTTGTTTGCCTTGGTTAGTAAATCCTAGTCTATCCATTCAAAAATTGCATTATTATAATACAGCTCTCATTTCTCTCCTAAGCCCTGAAATCACATGAAGCTGTGGGTGGAGATTCTGCTGATAGTGCCCCAAACACCTCTCAATTCAAACACCATGAGTAACCAGACACTAGTAACGCAGTTTATCCTGCAAGGATTTTCTGAGCACCCAGAATACAGGGTGTTCTTATTCAGCTGTTTTCTCTCCCTCTATTCTGTGGCCCTCACAGGTAATGTACTCATCATCTTGGCCATCATCTTTAACCCAGGACTCCATACCCCCATGTATTTTTTCTTGTTCAACTTGGCTACTATGGACATTATCTGCATCTCCACCATTATGCCCAAAGCATTAGTAGGTCTTGTGTCTGAGGAGAACTCCATATCCTATGGAGGCTGTATGGCCCAGCTCTATTTTCTCACATGGTCTGCATCTTCAGAGCTACTCCTGCTCACAGTAATGGCCTATGACCGGTATGCCGCCATCTGCCACCCGTTGCATTACAGCACCATGATGAGCAAGCCATTCTGTAGCTTGCTGGCTGCAAGTGTGTGGGGGATCTGTGCCTTCAACACAGCTATTCACACGGGGCTGATGCTGCGCTTAAATTTCTGTGGCCCCAATGTGATTACCCATTTTTTCTGTGAGGTCCCTCCTCTGCTACTTCTCTCTTGTAGCTCCACATATGTGAACAGTGTCATGATTGTTCTGGCTGATGCCTTTTATGGCATATTGAACTTTCTGATGACAATTGTGTCATATGGCTTCATCATTTCCAGCATCCTAAAGATGAGGACCAAAGAGGGGAAAAAGAAAGCCTTCTCCACCTGCTCGTCTCATCTCATTGTGGTGTGCATGTATTACACAGCTGTCTTTTATGCCTACATAAGCCCAGTCTCCAGCTACAGTGCAGAGAAGAGCAAGTTGGCTGGTGTGCTGTATACTATGTTGAGTCCTACCCTCAACCCACTCATCTACACTCTGAGGAACAAGGAGGTCAACATAGGCCTCAGGAAACTTTTTCCCTTCTTCAGAAACTAGTTTCTATCTTCTGAAGCTCTTCTTTGACATTGGTGATATAGTGTGGATTCATTTTTCTTTGAAGGATTTGATGAGTGGAAGCTTTTCATCCCAATGGAACAGCTTCATAGATGAGCTTGGAATTCTGGTGCCTTAGACTCATTGATGAGAAGAGTATTGTTGGTGTAAGTTCATATATTTGTGAGAAATTGTGTCTCATGATCTGGTCCCAAGTTAATGTGAGTTCTAAGTGGCAGGGAAACAAACCTGTCATGGAGAGTAAAATGCTCCTTGTGTTGTAGAATTGCAACTATATGAAAGTGTTTTCCTTTTCTACTCCTCTCCCCCATCCCCTTCCTCTTATTCTTATTTTTCTTCTTATTCTGTATATACAATGTTCAGGCTATGGATCCTAAAATTAGGTGTGCAGGCTTAGAAAGAACAAAGCAGGATAAATGGACCACATAGCTCATGAAAGAGAGAACTGTCAGATTGAAGAATTGTCTTAAGGTTTCCCTGGTCCCTAAGAAGCCTTCTACCTCTTCTGTATTACCTCATATGCCTCTTCTGGAGCCAACTGGACTTCAACAATAGCTTCTGGTTCTAAGTTAAATTTTTTTCTGGTTTTCCCTTATCCTCTCAAGATAATACGTATTATTAGAACCACCACTTTATTTGGAATGTACCACACTTTATTTTTAATGTACCAATCTTCACTTTAAAACCAGATGTATGGGTTATACACTTCACCCTTTCTTGATTTCGTTTTGAGACTGAGGTTTTGACTTGCTTCATTGATCTGTAGTGAGAACAGCTCCCATGATTCAGTTCTAATAAGTTGCATTACATTGTAAAATAAATTGTTTTCATTTCCAATGTTTCAAAAAAAGTTGGTGGATAAATCCTTTGTGTTTACTGAATTCAGGTCTAGGGACTTAGGTTCCATGGTATTAGAAAACTGGACACAAAAATCCATTTTTATAATAATTGACTAAAAAGTACAGAGGCAAGATGCAAGCGTTTACCTGCATCATTGTGATTGAAAAAAAGACACATATTGTTTACTACTCTAGATAGAAGCTGAAAGTATAGCTATATTTAATTTACAAGGGATAGGTTTCCCATGGTTCTTCCTCCAGTATTCTCATTCTCATTCATCAGAAGCATGCAGACTTGGGGCAGAGAATTTTAAAAATTGATGGACACATGGATTGAATGTGGCCCTGGCACATAACTTATTATGGACTAAATATAATGTCTTTTTTTTGTCGTTTCCATTTAAAATTTTTATTTCATTTTGCCCATGACATGAACTCAGACTTTCAATTTTGATATAGCAAAGCAATCAATTTGTATGCAGTTGGTTAATATCAAAAGACAAAGCAAAGTGAAAAAAGGAGAGAGAAATAAAAAAATCAGGTTAGTGTGTCCATAAAAGTATAATGTCTTTTAATAGAATTTTGACCCTTAAATAATGTCAGTCTACAGTCTCAGAGACTTTGAAATTAAACAAAATTTTGAAAATTACCACTATTGGTTCTACATTATTATTAATAGATTTTCAATATGACATGAAGAACATTTTTGTGTTAACCTTGATTTCTTATAATTTTTACATTTTATATATTTTATAGAAAATTTTGAAAACATAAAAAGTACATAGTGAAAGATCGAATACTTATGAGATAATTATTCATTTGACTAGGCAGAAATATGAAATTTGATTTATATAATTTCAAATTCACAATCCAGTTAAAAAGACACTGACACACATGATGAGTAACAGACAATGGTATAAAGAGTGCTGTGCTGTATGGTGAGCTAATAGTATGGAAGTGAAGAAGTGATATAAAGAGTGAGGAAAAAGCCCTGGACTTGGAATGAAGAGATCTCTGTTAAAGTTCAGACTCTTTCAGAAGGCTGCAACCCCATTGTACCTTCGTTTTCCCCTAAATGACTAAATGTGACAAAGATAATAAATCAACCATAAGATGCTGTCAAAATTGAATAAGAAAAATTTAGCCCCTGTGGTTTAAAGTAGACAAACTCATGCAAGATCCCAAAGGCATCCCACACACAGCACCTTTATGACTGCTTACTTACCCCAATTTATCAACTCTTTAACATACATACTCTTAAGAACCATGAAGACGAACTTCCCCTTCACCAACCTTCTCAGTTTCTCATATCTCATCTCTGATAATGTGTATCAGTGAATGGAAATACATTAATTTTTTGAATTATTCCTAAACCACAAATCCTTCCCATTTTGGCCTCCTTGAGTAAGCAGCTGCCCTCTAGGTGGTAAATTTCTCTAGGTGAATTTTCCAGCAACTACATGATGGGTGGAGTTTGGATATTGAAGATATGTCACAGGATCTGCACATATCCAGGTCCTCCTCCATGGAGGCTACTTCATGAACAGAAGTTTTAGCCACATTCATGTCCAGTGGCCCAAGACAATAGAGTCACAGTATGCTTGAGTTTTATATTAACCTTTCTTTGTTTTGTTTAGGGTTTACAAGTAGGATTCGTCTATCTTGGCATTACTGACCTATTGGTTTGGACAAGTCTTTGTTGTGAGAAGCTGTCCTGTGTACTTCAGGATTTTAGCCAGCATTCCTGCTCTTGCTACCCATTACATACCCCTATTTTTGGTTGTGATAACTAAGAATATCTACAAAAAAAAAAACAAAAACTCGCTGAACTCACTGTCATTCAGCCAATTCGGACTCATAGTGATACTATAGGACAGTCTACCTTCTTTGAGTTTCTAAGACAGAATCTTTTGAGAGCAGGCAGCCTCATCTTTCTCCCAAGAATGTCTACAGATAGTGCTAAATATCTGCCAGTGTGCAAAATTACCTCTGGATAAGAACCATTGATCTTTGGTCAACTAGAAATTTTTTTTTAAATTTCCACATTTGGAAATATTTGTGGTTGTTACTCTCTCATGTCTACCATAACGACCATTTCATTTAGGTACTATTCGTTGCAAACTTCTATATGCCAGCCTGGGATTAAGCATTGTTAAATCTTGTTTGTAGACTTTCAGTGATACTCTAAAAAAAAATCATTTATTGAGGGCTCATATAACTCTTATCAAAATGCATACATACGCCCATTGTGTCAAGCACATTTGTACATTTGTTGCCATCATCATTCTCAATACATTTGCTTTCTGCTTGAGCCCTTGGTATCAGCTCCTCATTTTCCCCTCCTTCCCCATACCCCTTGCCTCATGAACC